ATTCTTTAAGCAGCTAGGGAATGAACTTCGTGCTATTACATGCATAAAATACTTGTCAGGTTATCAGACACATTGTCTATGAATTTATGTGTAATTAATTGATTGAAATAGGTGCTGAGAAATTGTCGTCCTCGTATATTACGTGTGTTATGGAAAACAGCAGGTAGTAGAGTTGTGATTTAGACATAAAATCCTTACAACAGAGCCTTTTTCTATGGAAAATATGCCACAATGATATTTTCAAAACACACATTCATTAAATAGATCACGACTAACGTGGATACATGAACTGTAAAGACGAGGTGAAGCTCCAAAATCTTTTTCATATAATGTACTTAACCACTCAATTCATGGGTATGGAAATGAAACCCACTGAAAGTAGCTTATGCATCATACCAAAAATAAACTTGTTGTACATTAATTAAGGTCTTATTTGTTTTAATATAATATGTTTAATCACGCTAATTAAAATATTTCATAAGCACACAGTTTTCACTAGATATTTCTTAAGATTTCTGTTTAGGTACAAATTGCAAATACCACATCTGTTAGTGTAAATTGTGCATCTCATTTTGGGCGGTCTTCCACCCACCAGGTAAACATAAAATTTACTTACTATAACATTTAATGTAGTAAGTGTATCTTCACGAAATTGGGCAAATTAGTAGTAAACGTTACAAGTCATTTGTATTCAAAAAGTCAAAATTTTTAATTAAGCATTTTTACTAAAGATCTGTCTTTGAATATACGGAATTAGAGTTTAACTCAAACTCTGACTTGTCTGAGTGTAATATGATTATCATGTTAAGATTAAAAGTATATTTTCATCTTACAGTTTTTATTTCATTTGCATAACCTCTAGAACAGTGTTTCTCGAACTTTCTGAAACGGTGGACCGGCTACGAATCTTTTGATCACCCCAAGGACCGGTGATGAAAACCAAATATATTGTTCACTTTTTTTATAAGAAATGCATAATTATTCTATTATATGATTTTTTTAAAATATATACATACATACATCATTATGAAAGGATTGCTTTAATAAATGTAGAATTTACGTCAATATAAGAATCATTAGATTGTCGTCAGCGTGAAAAGAGAGTTTATTTTTGATTTGTCAATTTATCAAGTCTTGGTTCGATGGAAGACAGTGCAACACGCAATGGGGCTCGAATGTCCAAATGGTTTCTGTACTTAGTCTTTATGACACTCATTGTTGAGAAAGCAGTCTCACACAGATATGTTGATGGAAATTGGAGAAGTATTTTGATAGCGATTCCAGCCAGTTCAGGATACTCCACTCTAGCTTTGATCCAAAAGCACGCCAAGGATTCTGCAGATTCGAAAAGGATCTTCATGCTACCGTCAGCAGCAAGCTCCAGCAATTGATCCTCCAACGCAACCGACAATCGGTGTTCCGATGTTAAAAAAGGGTTTCTGATCCATCCATAACGTTTTCGAGGGTCTTCCTCTGACGGAAAGTACATCTCAAAGCGCTCCAGTAGAGCCATCAAATGCTCATTTATCTTGGCTCTCAATACAGACATCTCAAGTCCCGAGTCTGTTTCAGTTATTGTTGCTGACAGTTTGTGAAACATATCAAAGCAATCTTTCAACACGCGAGATTTCCATACATCCAGCTTGCGTTTCATTCCATCAATCTTGTCTGCTATCGTGAAGCACGAAGCCATTTTTCCCAGCATGGAGACGTTGAAGGTATTCAAGATGTCAAAAATATCAGCCATGTACGCCAGCTTTGCAACCCATTCAGAATTTCGGAATAGTTCTGACCAATGTGGTTTCTTGCACTGGAGGAAGTGGGCGAGTTCATGTCGTAGTTCAAATACTCGAGAGAGAACTTTGCCTCTGGACAACCAGCGTATATCAGCATGCAGTATGAGTTGTGTGTGTGCTCAGCACCCGCATCTTCACATAATGCTGCAAATAACCTTGAATTCAGTGCGTTGGCCTTCACATGATTCACAATTTTCACAACGTCACTCAGAATTGAGTTTAATTCGGGTGACATTTTCTTAATGGCTAGATTATCTCTGTGAATTATACAGTGTGTTGATTTACAATCCGGGACCACTGCTTTAATCTGGGCTATCACGCCGGAATGACGTCCTGTCATCGCCGCAGCTCCATCTGTACAGACGCCGACACAATTTTGGAAATTCAAATCGAATTTTCGAACTATGTGATCGCTCAAACTCTTGAACAATTCTGTTCTAGTTGTGCTAGTTGGTAACGAATCAGAAAAAAAGTACTCCTCCTTCAAATCTCCTTTGTATTCGTAACGCACAAAAACCATAAGCCAAATCGTGGATGCGACGTGCAATAGTGTCGTTTGACATTGGAACTTGGGATACTTTCTGTGCCACTGCCTCGCTCAGCATTTCTTGACATACGTCTTTAATACAGCCTATCACGAGTGTCTCCCCAACTGTAAACGGCTTCTTTGCCTTGCCAATACGAAGAGCAACCTTATATGAAGCGCGCAGCGCACAAGCAGTTACGCGTGTCAAATTGAGCAGTTGTTTCTGGGATGATTTCAAATTATCATACTTCCTTTCAAAAAACTCTTGCGGTTTTGAAACCAATTCGCCATGTTTGGCATTTTGATGCCTCTTCAATTTTGAGGGTTTCATGGCATCATTGCTCAAGATTTCACCACAAATCACACACTGTGGTTTTTCCACTCCATTTTCATCCATGGCACAAAATCCAAACTAAATGCGTGAGCAGTCATATTTTCGAGTGTCGCTAATTCGATTCCTCCTTTTCGATGGTGGTCCAATTTCACCTGAATCCACCAAAATATCCTCACTATCATCATTTTCAGGATGTCTTCTCTTTATGAACTTATCCAAAGGACCACGTTTTTCCATCTGAAA